AAGGATTGCATCTAAGGGGTTTACGGCCATATAATAGAGTTTACGGCCATTGTGTTTATGGCCTAAGTGTATATGGCCAAGGAGTTTACGGCCCTTGGTGTATACGGTCCTAGAGTGTACGATCAAGGAGTTTACGGCCATATACTTATTGAAAAGCTTGTAAACAACGTATTCTAAGGCCCTAACAAGCATTCCCTAAGTGTTCTTGGTACAAGTGTTTGACTTAGATGAGTTTGAAGGCCAAAACATGCACCAACACAAGGGTTTACGGCCGTAAACTCTTGGTGTTCATGCATTAAATGATGTTTCAAGGCTAGGAATCATGTGTTTATCAAGCCTAACTAGAAGATACAAGAGATACTTACACTTTTAAGGCTCAAATGGGGGGTTCATGGCCCAAGAACAAGTAGGTGTTCTTGGTGTTATTGGTGAAAGTGATGAATACTTGAAGATCTACCTAAAATATGAATTTCATGGGTGAAATCAAAGGGTGATACAAGATCAAGAAGGATATCAACTAGAAAATGGAAGAAATACTTACATTTTTGGAAGATCAAGGTGAAAAGTTTGATGATAGTTGAGAGAGAATCTGATTCCTTGAGTTGGAAGTGGGAAAAGGTGATGAAAAATGAAGAAGTATCATATTTAAGGGGTGAGTTCACGGCCAGCTAAGGATTTACGACCGTAAACTCCAATCCATGGAGTTTTACGGCTTGTATGTTGCACTCTGAACTCTAGAATATACTTCCTAACATTCCTTCTTGAAATTACTAGGTTTAGAACACTCAAACAGACCCTTAACAAGGCTAAAAGATAGCAAAACGAGTCTGACTTTGATTGAACTGAAAGTTTGTACAAGATAGAAATTTTGGCTTCCATATGGTTGAGCCGTGTTATTCAAGACCTAAAACATAGTCTTCGAAGTGCAAGGGTCAAACTTCATAATCCTGTGGGAAGAGGATAGGGATCCTAGTAGTAGATCTGATACTGCTTGACATATTGAAGGAAAGAGTATGAGAATCTTCGTGATGCATGATATCGATTCACAAAAACCTATATAAAATCAGATGTGTAAAACAATAATTGAGTTTAGGGCAAAACAATGACCCAGATCTAACATCTACGACTGATGAAAGTGATGAAGACGACTAGAACAAATCCACCAGAAACTCTAAACCCTAATAATACTTGACAGAAGATTTGCGTACGAGTTACACAATCTCCTACTCTGATACCAATTTTTGAAACAATGAACTTAATATCAATAGATTCTAAACATAAAGTGAATCAAATAACATGAACACTAATCAAAGATGTGTCGAATGTTTAATATTATCAAAGATTTAGAAGAGTTCAACGTGAACTTTTTGTAAAAGTTAAGTGGGCAATACAATCGATTTTTTTAGAATGATACATATATGCACATTAAATAGTCTAACCCTAGCAACATAATGACAGATGGACAAGCCCAACCCGTTAATCAAAAGACTATTCAAGTACATAATAATTTTGACACAACACATTAAATAACCCAGCAGGACCGGACCAGTTTCGGAGAATATTATAGACCGTGGACCGGACCGGATAAGATTTACCACATTTAGGTCTATGTCCGGGTCCGGGTCCAGGTCCAGGTTTTCCGGTTCTTAGACCCGTTTAGACTGGTACAACTTTATATGCATATGATACAACATGTTAAAATGCTTTTTTGGGTTTGATACAACTCGTTAAAATGAGTATGTTGTTGGGTTTGATACATTACAACTCATTAAATTGAATACTTTTTTGAATTTGATACGATACAACTTGTAAAAATGAATATGTTTTCGTTTATTGTGCCCTTTGATTGTTGATACTTTATACCATGTGTTTGAAGGATTGTAACTCAAGAAATATAACTCCAAAAACAACCAAATTACTGTCTAAAATCATCTAGAAACTCTATACTACATGTTGGAAAAAAAATGCAAGTCATTCCGACTTAAAACGAATCAAATATGCTTGTTTAAAGAATTTCACATAATACAAAATTTTAAATGTCTTGCTGAAAAGCTGAAATATTTCAGCTTTGATATCTCATCTTTGAATGTTTGTAACCCGTTCAATCTAACACCAAAATGAACAAAATTATAGTAAAAAATCATCTATAAACTCTAAATTACATATTGAAGAAAACTGCATGTCAATCCGACTTAAAACGAATGAGATATGTTTGTTTAAAAAATTTCACAGAATACAAAAGTTTAAATTTCTTGCTAAAAAGTTGAAATATTTCATATTTGATATATTTTCTTTGAAATATCGTACTTCATCGAATATATTACCAAAAATAACAAAATTATAGTCTAAAACCATCTACAAATTCTAAACTACACGTTAGAAAAAACCGCATGTTAATCTGACTTAAAAAGAATGAGATACGCTTGTTTAAAAAAAATCATAAAATACAAAAGTTTAAATTTTTTGCTAAAATGCTTAAATATTGCAGGTTTGATATCTCATCTTTGAAGGATTGTAACTCATCAAATATAACACCAAAAACAACAAAATTATAGTCTAAAATCATCTACAAACTCTAAATTACATGTTAGAAAAAAAACCATATGTTAATACAACTTAAAACGGAAGAGATATGCTTGTTTAAAGAATTTTACAAAAATACATTTTTTTTTAAAAATAAGTCGGTCGAAAACCTATTTTTACCCGGAACCTGCCGGACCGGACCGGTAAAAAAACCAGACCGGTTTTGCTGTAATCCTAGAACCAAGAACCGGCCCGGGGGTCCAAAAAAATGGTCCGGTCCGATCTGTTTCACTGGTCCGGTTCGATCTATAAGTCCAAATGTGCACCCTTACCTCCAACAACTGAAATAACCAAAAAACACTCAGTATAAACACAACCACCCCAAGATCTTCGTATGATCAATCGTTTTATTTTTCCCCATATTAACACTATGGCGGTATGCTACTTTGTTTTCCACAATAACTCTGACAACCACAACGACCAACACAACCACTTCCACAAACACAACCACAACTCGCTCACAATTTTAATCCGTTTGATTTTTTTTTGTCTCAGCCTGTGTTTGTTCAACAAACACCATCACAACTACGGATACTCATTTCTAATTTCTAACTCGAATTCGTTCAAGAAACTCAAAACACCCGAGCACCAAGTAAAAGAAAAGAGAAGGAGGCGACTAAAGGATGGGACCCGAAGAAGTGTTAGTATTTGCACAATAATGGATCGATATTTCAGAAGATGCAATGACAAAAAAGATCAAAATGTGACTTGTTTTGGATGCGGGTTAGATGTAGATTCCACAAAGGAATGAATCTTGGTGATTATCGTTCAAAACACCAAGTGTACTCGAAATGGGGTAAGGTGAACAAGGAAGTGATGTTGTTTAATAATTTGTATAACAACATGAATCTTCAACCAAAAAGTGGAGAAAGTAATGATGTTCTTTTAGAGAAAGCGCTAATAGTGTACCAAAAAGAAAAGAAGAAGGCTTTCAAGTTTCTTGATGTTTGGAATCTCGTGAATAGAAAATGGAAAGTGAACAAATCATCTGACGAGCATATCGATAGTGGATGAAAACACTCAAGAACATCCGAATCCGACCACACTACAATAATGCTCGTGTTGGTTTCAACATCAACGATGATGAACCCATTCAAGTTTAACCACCTTCCGGACCAATAGGAAGGAACAAAGCAAAAAAGCAAAGACAAAGGCAAAGTGTCGGATTCATATGAGTTTAAAGAAATGGGGGCCGATATGAATGGTATAAAAGATAGAATAGACAGAATTTTGTAACTTGCTTACGAAAAATAGCTTCGTTAACAAAGAGATAGTGATAGAATTTTGCAACTTGCTTACAAATTGATAGAATTTTGCAACTTGCTTAAATTTTTAGGAAATTTTTAATGTCATGTTTTTTTTTTTAAGTAATGCAATGTAATGGTTTAAAATTTTTTAAGTAATGAAGTTTATATTTTTTTATTAAAATTAAAATTTTATTTAAATTAAATTATTAAAAATATGACATCACTCATTGCATGTGGCAAGGAACCACATTTTTATGGTAAAAAAAATGACATAACATTTTCGTGGCATGTAAATGTTATTAAAATGACACAACTCCCTCCACCTTATATGCACCTCTCACTTGTATAGAAAATTCAAACATACACTCAACCAAGGATATAACAACCAATTGAAAGAATACTAATAAAAATTTAGCATTTCTTGATCTTTTGTAAAGAGACAGCAGGAGAGTATTTAAACACATCATACCCATATTCCAGATTCAAGTGTTGTTTTACACCCCTTGTAGTCTACCTTCAGTTATGACTCTAACCCACCTTTATACATTACATCTGCCTACCGTACCCTACCCCTACCATATCCCTACCCCCAATTGCAAAAAAATGTTGGCAGATCGGGAACTAGAGATAAAAAAAATGTCCATAAAAAAACAACTGAGCCCAATGACATATTATTAAGGTACCCTAGAACGGCATATAACAGATAACACATAAGCGTAATAAAAAAAAGGTAAAAAAACGAGAATGGTATAGTGAGTTGTATATCATGCTGTAAATGTTGTACTGTGGAGGAAGGTTTACTCTAAATTCCAAAACTTAAGGTACACTTTCATGACTAACATTTAATACCCATCTAAATGTATACAAATAACCCATCTATGAATTAGTTTTTGCAAAAAAAATTGCAAAAAAAAAATTGCAAAAAAAAAAAATTACTATACTTGCTTCGTGCTTCGAGTTGTTCCATGTTGTCATGCAACACAAAAGAGCATCATATAATATGTAAATATGTTACATAACACTATATAATATATGGGCTATTACAATTGAAACCCTAGAAATTCAATTATCAAGGTCTAAACAATCATTCTAGGGTTATGTTAAAAAACTAATATGAAGAGGATATTTATGTCTTTTTAACCATACAAAAGTCGATGTCACATCTTTGTCCAACCAATTTGTGTAGGAGGATCAATTACATATTGTTTCGTCTCACATCCCCTTTGTGATACATGAAAAAATGGTAGAGAAAGATTCGACTAGATGTGTAGAAGCTAAATCGGATCATAAAAACATTCGTAACAATTATTCACAAACATCAAGGAAACAAACCTAATCACAAAAAAGAACATTCAAGATGACATCCTACATTATAACAACCATTATATTTCCTAACAAATACATGTATTCACTAAAAAGATACAAACAACATCACAAATTTTTGCAATCCCTAGCGTAAAAGCAAAAGCAACCCCTGAGTTGTCACACACTGTCAAATCATACGAAAAAAAAAAAAGTACACAATGGCCAACTAGCAAATTACTTCAATGCGCTCCTCCTTCTACGCACTTCAAGATTACTCGGTATTATAGACACATTATCTACACAAATTCCACCTTTCGAATGCGTGCAATCTATTTGCTTCATTGAAAACCTAATTTCGATTGCAGGATTTGACTCGCTTACAATAAACTCGCCTACTTTATACTCAATCCAACAACCCCTTTTATGGCAACCATTTGGCTCATCTGCGACACAATCATCTAAAAAACATTCGGTGGATGATTCTTGACCGTTGGATGTGGATAGATCAAATCTTACGGGCTTTATATCCCACCCATGAGTGTGTTCAAAATAGCATACACGTCGCCCTAATCTTTTTGAAAATCTTCCCAAATGTATTCTAAATGATAATGTGTAAATATCGGGTGGGAGTGGGAATTTTATGGAACCATCGACTTCGAACCACCATATTTGTTGTAAATATGCTACGATGTTGAACCTGTGAAACACTAGAAGAATCAACCCGTTCTCCTTAATGTTAAATAGCCTTAATTATAATGCAAGAAATAGCAACGTACTTTCATTGATTTCCCTATTAGGCCTTTAGCTCGCTTTATTTTAAACACGAGCTAAATGCTAAAAATAGCAACATACTTTCATTTATTTGTTTATTATATCATCCTACTTTCATTTCTTTACTATTGACATTGTATTTTCGTTTTTTTTTTTTTTTTTTTTTTCATATAAAGGCATTGTAACTTGAAAATTCCAACAACTTATAGTATTGTAGTTTCATTATTTTTCCTATTAGGATTTAGGAAATTAAACTTTGAAAAATCTACCCAATTATAGCAACAAATATTTAACTATATTCCGATGACTTTGTTATAATTGGGTAGATTTTCCTAAGTACAAGGTTGTGATTTATTGTATTTAATCCTTTTAAATAAATGTGAATTACAGAAGTATGAATTCAACCTAGATTCTTCTGTAGAAACCCAATTCCAATATCTTCGATCTTCAATTCCTGTTATTGACATTGCTTTGGTGGAGATTGACAAGCAAACTCTTCCAGTAACCTTATCCAACCATGCTACCTGAAATATCCCATAGCTCAAAAGGATCAACTTACTATCTGAATACTGCTCACATTATCATATATCATCAATCTTAGTCGATTATGGAAAGTGGAATTAGTTATGGAGCAGTAGTAATTAAGAAAAAAGATATACTTCGAACATGAATCCATGTTTACAACTAGATTTCAAGTAAAGTTACCTAATCAGATTCAATCCCAATTGCCTAACAAAACCCTAATTGGGAATTTGAACAAAAAACCCCAAAAGATTACGAAATTGAAAAAGAAAAAATTGACAGATTACCTTGTTGCCGTCGTCGAATGGGACAGGGCGAGAAAGGAGAGCAAACACGTCTTTCTTACACAAGTTTTGGTAGCTCTCAGGAGGCAATAGGTCGAGCAGATCTTGATAGTTATGTGGAAGCTTCGATTCCCACACGGCGTCCGACGACGCTGCGTTACGGAAAGCACGGTTGAGGCGAGCTAGATTGCATATCTCCGGCGGAGTAAGATACAAAAAAACACACGCCACGCAGCTCTCGGGTATGTCACCGAGTCCCGGTCCATCGCCGGCGATCGGACCCCACTCAGTCAAATTAGACAACGATGAACCCATGTTGGTGTATCAACTCATTTTGGGAGTTGATGGAGGAGTGGAGATAGGGTGTTGGACTAGTAGCAGAGAAAAAGGGAGTTTTTTTGGATCTTCGCAGGGTGATCGTTTGCAGCTTTCTGGTTGAATGGATTTCTGTAAATTTGCAGTGATAATGAAAGTCTGTGTTTTGATTTTGATTTTTGAAGATGGGCCCACACGTTATTGGATAACGGCAACACGAGTCTCACATCTCGGGTCGTCTTCTTCATGGAGGTGGGTGTGTAATTGTCTATCCATTTATGAAGATTCGGTCCAGAAAAATACATGAAATAGATATATCGGTTTGGACTTGTCTTGAAAAATATCTTACACCGTAAAAGGGTAGGTTTGGAAAAGTATTAGAATAGCCTAAAATCTTGTGGCACGGTTGATTGATAAAGAAAAATCAGAGATTTTTTTTATTTTTTAGGGTTCTTTAGTCTATAGTCTACCGGAGTTGGCGGATAATAAAGTTATTTAATATTCGGATAAAACCGAATTAATTAATTGGATTATTTGGTTCGATATTCTGATTTTTGAATTGGTTTTTTCAATAAAACCGAATTATTATTTTGGATTACGGATTGGTTTTGATTTATAAAATAAGAACCAAATAAACATTTATTGTTTATAGTATATATCTAGAGTTATTTATTAATTTTGTAATTTATTATTTTTATATAGGTTCAAAATGTTTCACCTGATAAAAAAACATTAATATGTATTTTCTATCAAAAGTTTTCTATCCATAAAATATTTAATTATAATATATTTTCTTAGTAGTTGCTTATAAAGTTCAAATCACAACTAAATAATTGGATTTGTTTCTTGTGTAAAATTAGATAATATTATAATTAATATGTAATTTTAAAATGTTTTGGTTTCTGAAAACCGAATTGTAATTGGATCAGATTGAATCGGATTTGAATTTAGTTTGGACAATTTGGATCTATGTTTTGAAAACTGAAATTAATGTGGATTAGTTGATTGGATTAGATCAAACTGATCCATCTAAACGAACACCCTTACCGGGGGGAGGATGACACTACTAGAAAAGACCGTCTGGCGAAAATGTGCGGTAGCCTTACATCGGCGGAGCATAAGGAGGAAAGGGAGCCCGAACAATGGAAGAGCCAGGGAGGTCAGGTCATTTGACCGAATCTTGTCTTAAAGAATGCCTTACGGAGTAAAGGGAAGGGCATGAATTCTTGGAAAAAGAGGAAGTGAGCATAAGTAAAAAAATGAAATCAAGCAAATTCAATGAATAAATATAGCAACGATACGAACGATTACGAAAAAAAAAAACAACTTATTTTTAAAGGTAATTTCCATCATAAAATCGTCAATAAACTGACAAATTTAATGTATTATTTTACTCAAAACCGAAGCCAAGAAAATGAAAAATACTGAAACTGAAACAAAAAGCCTCCAAAATTAAACCAAAGGCACACACAAACTCGCAAAGACCGCAAGATTGGACCGAAAAACTCCGGACCTTTCCGGTCCTAAACAGACCAAATTGTTCCAAAATCGACCAAAAACCGTTTGTGACAGCTAATGTGCATCTCTATCATACTCTCATGAATGTATGCATTAAAGCTTTCGGATACCAAGAGTCACCTCCCAATTGATCAGCCCAACAACGAGCGAAACAGGCCCATCCGGTTTAAGCGAAACCCACCCGCCACAAGGATTAACCATCGAAGAGATCCATGACTTGGTTATTATCCCACATTTAAAGAAAAGGAAAAGGTTCGGCATATAATAGTAGGACAAAATGGATGACGAGGACATCACAACTAATAAGGCCCCCAAATTTATTATATTGTGTATTTATTATTTAATATATAATGATCATTTTAAAGCAATAAGCAAGATAACTTTAGACCAGTTGTAAAAGCGGCTTGCTATTAACGAATGGGCAAATTTCGAATCATGTTATATAGATTTTTTATAATAAGAAAAAATATCAAAAAACTTTGTAAAATCTTTTTTATTATAATAAAAGACTATAAGTTATGTCATTTGTCATCTTTTACTTCTCCGATACCACGTGGTATTTTATCCCTCTCTATGTAAAGGGTGTCTAAGATTTTATTTTGAACGTTAAAATGATTTTTAGGCAAAATAATTTATTGACTTAAAGTGGTGAAAAAATGAGTTTTTAAAAAAGTATTTTGATTAATTTTTATGATGAGAAAGTCAATAAATTAAAAAACATTTGTCTTATGTTTTAAACAGGAGTGGAGCTACAATTTAAGAATAAGGGACTGACAGTTTTATCTCGTAGTATTATATTAAAATATAATTTTATATCTAAATAAAGTAATAGTTCCAAAATTCTAAAAAAAAAATCACAAAGAAATTTTTGTTTCCATTAATCTCAATTTTCAAAAGTTTTCAACTAACTATAAACATCAACGTGTATTCATCCGTTAACCTGTAATTTTGGATCATACACACCTTCTATTCGTTTGAAAAAAGAATCGTAACTTGTAATTTTTGGTCACACACATTTTATTTGTTTGAGAAAAGAATCAATAGTTTCTCATAATTTACCCGATGATTATAATAAATTAATTAACTAAATTATCAAACCATAATTAAATTATTAATGACAAGTAACATAAATAAAAGTATGCAAAAGATTTAAATTTTACCTTAAAAATGAAATCATGTTGATGTATTTGTTTAGCCGGAAACAATTTTTTGATTGCCAATTAACAACCTCTTTGAATAAAAATAATTACATTGCCTCGATGAATCATTAAAACAAACGCTACTTATGAACAAATATTGATTATAATGAGATAGCTACTGACAAATTGACATAGTTAGGAGTATAAATCAATGGCTAATTAAAATAAAATAGATAGGGATGGAGACGGTTGTGTTTAGATGTGGACCTCAACTTTTCTAGTGATAATACCCTCATTGTTTTTTATGTATAGTAATTGTTTTCTTTTAAAATAATTGGGAGGGGTTGGACATTGTTTTTTAGAATAAGTGGGAGGGGTAGTACATTGTTAAGTAAAGGATGTACGTTAGAAGTTTAATCGTTAGTCTAATTTATTTATAATATAACTAAAGTTTGAAAAATGATCAAGGGATGCAAAGCATTATGTAGTCTCCCTTTTGCCTCCACCTCTGAGTTTTTTTTAAGGAGAATTTGATTTTTACAATCAAAAAATTATAATTAGTTTTTGAAAAGTTAGAAATTCTAACTTATTTGAATATTTTTTTAGAAAGGCTATGGAAATGTCTTTAATACTTTGTCAAACATTTTTTTTAATTTATTAATTTTTTCAAAGATTCAACTTTTTAAATGAAATCCAAACACCCAATGCACATGGTATTCAATGTCATAAAATATATTATAAATAATAATATTTTGTAAACTCGATAATATAGCATTTTAACATGTACCCCTCTCCCGGGGTAAAACTTTAAAAAAAACTTGTAAAAGTGGGGTTGTGAGCTCACCATAATACCAAGATTCGAACGAGTAGTGTTGCGACGGGAATCGGGAACCACAGGTACCACTCGGGACAAGAGAGCACGATCAGACAGAAACAAAGGATATGAGAGGGTGCATAATTAGGTCTGTCGAACTCTCTACATCTTGTCGCACTTGCCACAGCGGCCCCGACCCTGTTGGCCTTTCAATCTAGAATTAAATACCTTGGACCTCTTGCCCGAACTCCTTGAAACCTGAGCGTGATCCGTCTTCCTCTTCCTCTCCATCTTAATGCCAATATCCCTCTCCCTAGCCCTCGTTATCATATCCTCTAGTGTCATGCAACTGGATCGGCTCACAAACTGCCGAATATCACTCCTCAACATTTCATGATACATCGCCTTCTTTATCTCCTCATCCACTACATACTGCAGAACCAATAGTGCCCTCTCACGAAACATCGCGGTAATCTTAGCCACCGTCTCAGTAGTCTGGAGGAGATCCTGAAACTCTCATGCCAACTACTGCACCTCAATCACTGGTGCGAACTCAGCTCGGAACCTGGTCGAAAAATCATCCCATGTCATCAAATTAACAACATCATCAACAACTGCACGCCCAACCTCCTCCCACCAATCTCGAGCTCTGCCTTTCAAAAGGCAGGAAGCAAGTCTGATGTAACAGCCCAAAATCTCAAGTATTGTTAAATTGCATTTTGGGATGTTTTAAAGGAGAGACTCGGTGAGTTGGAGCCAGACTCGCCGAGTAGGGTCGCAGACTTGGTCGCGGGTTCACGACTGGACTCGACGAGTCCAGATATGGACTCGGCGAGTCGACGCTGTTCAGCGGAAACCCTAGCCGTTCAGTTTTGGGTCGTATATAAGGGATCTTAGGCCGTCATTGCTCGTCTTTTGGTCGATTGAGAAGAACCCTAAGCGACTGTGGCATCTAGAGCAAGCTTGAAGGCCATTGGTGACCTTGAAGGAATTGTTGTGCAAGAAGGAGAAGGGTTTTGGCTAAAGGAACTGCAAGGAATTCGAGTTCTGAAGTTTGGGGACACAGAAGGTACATCATTCAGGTAATAGTTCGGATTACATTCTTCTGTGATTGATGTGTATATGGATTTAGGGTTTATGGAACCCATTTGATGATTAGATGGATTATTACCTTGTTACCCAAATGAATATAACCCTGTATTAGGACCCTTAGAGGTCTAGAAGATCCCAGGTCTGTGCATTTCGGGAAGTGGTGAAGGTTTTGGATTGAAATCCTTATGCCTTAGGTTAACATGGGAATTATGAGTCTTGGGGTGTAGCATGAGCACCTAAATGAAGGCCTTTTGTGATGGACCAGCTTAGGAGGACCAGACCTATGATTGGTCGGGACGATTCTGATCTCAGGAAGCAGTTTGATCGACTGCATGACATGGACTCGCCGAGTCGGATGAGCAGACTCGGCGAGTAGCTTGAAGAATAGCTGGGACTCGCCGAGTTGTTCTTCAGACTCGGCGAGTGGAGTCGGGGTGGCCCCGCGATTCTTCCACGAGGAACTCGTCGAGTCAAGAGAGATACTCGACGAGTAAAAAAGGGAATATCCAGGATTTTGTGAGAACGACTAGACTCGCCGAGTCGCCAGGGTACTCGCCGAGTCCAGTCAAGATGACCGTGGACCGTTGACCAAAGCTGACCTGTGTGTGTGATTTCTTAGGGTCAGTTAACGTGGAAGATAAAAGTATTAATAAGAGATATATTATTATAGGGAGCTTGTAGCTCGGCGGATCAGGTGCAAGTGATTTCAGGAGTTGCTAACTTCCAGCATCCACGAGGTGAGTTTTCTCACTATACTGTACCCGGAAGGGTTTGATTGTGTGACCGAAAGGTCGAATATGTT